GGCTCAATTATCTCTTTGAAGCGAAAGGGTTTCCTACACCATCTAAAGCGAGAGTTTAGAGCCGAGAAGAACCAAAGTTCAAGAAGAAACCTCTGCAGAAATTCTTGGCGACAATGGCTGGAGGTACGCTATTTCATTTCCGCATTAGTTTTATTGTGTTTCTATTACAACGATTTAGAAACACAAGTTAGCTTCATTAAAAAATCTTACATATTGTGCTCGATCATCTGTTCACAGGGCTTGCATGGGATGGGTAAGTGGTCGTACTCTTAGCATGTCATGTCCTACAGAGAACTTGGATGCATTATAGGTAAATGATCATTACAGATGGCTGTTGATTTGCCTCGATTGTCGTGGGAGCTGTGTCCAGGTAGATGCTTACATTTATCAGTAACTCACTAAATCCAGTTGTTTATCTTTTTTGTTGTTGTGTATATGTATATATATTAGTAACATGTACATTGTAGTATAATTTAGAGGTTTGCTTTATTGTTCATAACTCACTAAATCCTGTCTCTTTGATACCACCTCAAGCAGTGAACCCTCCACATCTATCACCTCACCACTAACAAGAAGCAAATAAGATGGCAAGCACAGCCCTCGCTAAGTTCGGCCCTCCTGTGTCGGCCATTGCGAGGAGAAGCCCGACGAGCTTGCGACTTCTGGTCACTGCTGCTTCCCGACCTTCTCAGGTAGGAATGACTTGTCGACATGCAATTATTGCCTTCTCCGCGGTCCATTTCATGCACCTTAATGACTGTTTCGTTTCCATCCGACATATATAGGGGAGTGTGGTAGAGGACGCGGCGAGGTCCGTGAACGAGGAGGTGACCGTGGCCGGCGGGCAGGCGAACAAAACTACTGAGAGTCGAGGCATCGCCGGTGCATCAGCCAGCCAAGTAGGGTTCGCGTGAATTTTAGAGCAGGGCATGAAACATTTATACGTATGAGTTACGGTGCATGCTGCAGGTGGCTGGTATCGGAAATAGAGCAGCAGAGATGGCCCAAGACGCATGGCAGTCGGCGAAGGAAACCACGAAGAAGGCGGCGAACTTTGTCGCAGGGCGTGCGGCAGACACGAAGGAGAGCATCAAAGACGACGCTAATGCCGTCAAGCGCGCCATGAACGCCGAGAAGAACAGCTAAATGCGACGAAGACCACTGGTCGCTTTGGTTCCTTTGCTGCTTATTTCGACCTTTCTTTACATTCGATACAACTACTAGATTTTGTTTGTCGATCGTCTTCACGGCTGCAGCGTTGGAGGATTATGTCTTCCATTAACCGTATTCAATAAAATTGTATCCATGTTTTCTATCGATTTTCTCCCCATTTAAGAAAGAAATAAAGAAGATAACGATGAAAATAAAAAAATGCATAAAATCAAATAATGATCAACATACCAAAATCTATGAGCTAATAATGATTAATGCATATGATTGATCTGTCAAACTCACATGATCGACACATCAAGACTAGATAGTCGACACCTTATTAGAAAGTCATAGAATATCATATGATTGACATGTCAGACTCATATGATCGACACATCAAGATCAAGATCAAATAACCGACATCTTATATTTAGAAAGTAATAAGCCTTATTAGAAAGTCATAGGATATCATATGATTGACATATGATCGACACATCAAGATCAAGATCAGATAACCGACATCTTATATTTAGAAAGTAATAAGATATCACACGGTTGACACCTCCACACCGTATGATCGACATTTTGGTGTCATATGGTTGACAACTAAACATAATGTAGCCAATAAGACGATACCATGTGGGCAACACTTAGGCACCATGAGACCGGCATATCAAATCTACACGACAAACACTTCAGTGCCATCTCCATGTCACGTGATCAAAACCCATGGCTCTACTTTTCTAGCCAATCTCATCGTTTGATTTGTGCCACGTGTTAGAACTCACATCATCGTTTGATTTGTGCACAAGCAGTGTATCATTAAGAGGTAATGACTTTAGGAAGTCACTATAAAAAGGGGTTCCACAATTCGGCATAATGACTTTAGGAAGTCACTATAAGATAATTTCATCTTATTTTCATGGCTCGGCATAATCCAATTGGATTAACATCAAAACAGAAGTTTGATCACACGCAAACAACAAAGCCAAAACCAAACACAAATGTGTTGCACAATCGCAAGAAATAATACGTCCGCAGGTATAATGTCACACATACAATTACGCAAGTGTTAGCATAACAATTTCATCATCAGACCCTCCGAGGAAACGAAGATAACTTCATATACTGCAAATTTATTATTGTTGTTGTTGTTGTTGTTGTTTCTTAAACCGATTTCTTGGCCTCCTTCAGGATTCCACCGAGCGCAACGACGATGACGACGAGCAGGATGACGATGGCGATGCACATGTACTTCCTCGTGTTCTTCTGCGTCTTCTTCGCTGCTTGGAGTGTGGCGGTGGCATTCTCGATGTGGTCTACGGATTTGGTGACCTGAGAGCACCAACTCGGGTAAAAGGAGGAAACTCTAAGCTCGCAGAAGCGTTGAGATGCAGCAAACCTGAGCCTCGATGTCATCCAGCATGTCTCCCTGGGCGTCCACCAGCACCGACATGTCCAAGAACATCTGCAACCATTGACAAGATCACGCATGACGACCTCGACATCAATGCTTCAAGAGCCATAGCTTTTGGATCCCTGCTGCGCACCTGCTGTAGATCAAGAAGCTTCTTCTCCAACTCCAGCATGGTGTCGCGCCGTTCTTGTATCTCCGCCAATGTGTCCACAACCTGCAGAAGAGAAGATAAAGAGCAGTGCAATTCGTCGAACACATCGAAGCATGCGTGCGTGTGGCGTACCTGTCCTCGACCTTGACCTTGGATCGCCTTCTCAAAGATCAGCTCGCTGTTCCCAGTTTCTATCAGTTGATCGACCATCTGCTCCAAGTCACACACAAGAGGCCGAAGAGGGTAAGCCGGAGAGCAACCGAGAAGGAACTAATGCAAAATGGAAAGCTTTTCTTACTTCCTCGTCCGGTCTTGTTCCGGTCACTGCAAACGGAGCAGAGCAGAGTGTTACTGCCATGAAACAAGGAAACAATTGCTACTGCTTAGCGTCCGATACCGACACGAAAAGTACCTGTGAAGACTCTCCTTTCCACCACCTCACGGTACTCCTCGTGGATATTCTGCCTCAGAGTCTGAAGAAAAAATGAGACCAATCGATCAAGTTGTCATGCAAGAAGGCAAAGAAGAAACCTGCCATGGTTTCTTATCTGATCGGTTGCTGCAGTCTTCGAGTACCTGAAACTGTGTCATTCTCTCTTTTAGCTTCTTCTTCAGAGCCCTGCATCGTAAGAAGGCACCCTTACAATCGATCCATTGTAGATGGTGGAGTAGACCACTGATTCAAGTAAAAGTAACTTACGTACACAGTCATTCCCATTCTAGACCTGTCGACGGCGGTCCCTTTGCCGCATCCCGGTTTCTGCCTGTTGATCATGTTCTGCAACCAGTGAAGTCTCAGAACAGAGGGTGTTCGAGCATCATACATTTAGAACAGAGATTCCGTAGGATAAATGAGCTCACATTTTTGTCGAGTTGCTCTAACATCGTTTTGATCTTCAAAGCAATCTTTTTGACTTCTTCGACGTCCTTCTCCATCCGCTGTTTGATTGCTGAACAGAAGAAAGATTCATCGCAGTCAGTAGAATGAGAATTGGATGAGAATCGATTGCTGGAATTAGGAAGGCCAAACCTTTCATCTCCGAGGCCTTGGTTACAAGCTGGGATTCTTCATTGGTAGCCTGAAAGGAAAAGGATGACGAGGTTGAGGAGAGGAAGATACTGATCCGGAGATGGAAGGATGTTTAAGCATCGATCGGTACCTGTAGCTTATTGAAGAATCCTGTAATTCTCTCGATCTGCTTATCTATTTCTCCAACCTGAGGCCACCACGAACAGAAGGGGAACAGATCATGGATTACAATCAGAATCATCCATGGACACCGAAATGATGCTGCAAAACTTGGAGTCCTCGACGAAAGAGATGTACCTCTTTGAAGAAACCTTCCATCCCCATATCTCTGGTATCAGTAGAATACCTCCCTGATCCGATGTCTCCCTCTCCTGGGTAGCTACCCACCACCCTTTCGAACGATTCCTGCGAAAATTCCATGGTTAGAGATTAGTTTGGTCAGCATTCGAGGATCACCGATGACGAATGATGCCTTTTCCGAAAACTTCATCATCTCATGATCTCGATTTCCACATCTACGTTGTTGCAGCCTAAGCAGGAACGACAGAAATCACATTGTGCAATCCTCAGGTTTTAGTCTGATGTTTTCTATTAGAAAGCTCGGAACATGAAGAACAACACATTTCTCTGCGGATCGATCGAAATCGCTTCCTCAATCAGACCATTAATGGATTTTCTTCTCAGATCGAACCCAAACTTCGATGAAAAGGCGGCAAATCGAGCTCCTGGAAGCTCCGGAAACAATACAGGAAAGAGCAAGAACTGACCGTCATGAGGTTGTTCATCTTGAAGGGGAGCACGGCGGTCCGAGAGAGCCGCCCCGGTTGGCCGGAGGAATCACCGCATCAACAACGAAGAAGACAGCAACGAGGGGTTCCCAATGCTTTGCCAAGAAAGGTTGGAGAAAAGGGAGGGCGCTGTTCCGTTTGTTGCCCACAGGAATTGTTCTGGCAATCTCCCCTCCGCCAAAAATAACGGTAACAACGGTCAATCTTTGGGTTTCCCGAAATACTCCTCTCCTGACTTGGATTCACGACGGCGTCCGCACGAAGCGGGTCGGGTTTCCTTTTTTCGGGTGTCCGTGCCCGACTACCTGCCTCGTTTGAGGTCTCGAAGACAACGTTGATGAGTACGTGATGATAATATGTAGATAAGTGGTTGATATAGATAGAGAAATTCTCAACATTTATGCCAAATCATAAAGCTTTTATGAATATGCTACTAATCTTCGATGTCGAATGGTGAATTATGGTCATGATGACCAGATTCATCAGGCAAGAATATGTTCTGCTCCGGGATGAGGATTAGATTTAGAATGGTGTTGAGAACTTGGAAAGCATAATAAATATATTAACTTGAAGTATAGTCATGATGGTTAAATGAATATATTAACTTCAAATATTGCATAGCATATGTAATATTTAGATTTAGATAGATTTAGATTGACTTATAATAAATTATCAGTGATTCAAATTCGATAAATTAAAGAGTTCATCATATCATCGAATCCATAGATAAAGACTTAAATTGATTTATAATACATCATCCATGCAGTCATCTCATAAAGCAACAAGAAAATTGCACAAGAAGACTACAAGTTTTTTCCAAAAAGAACAGACAAATACCTGAAACTACAATGTAGAATGAGAGGATACAATATGAGTCTGGTAAACAACCAGTGTCAGATGGTTAGCTACGCACCTAATATGTATTGTTCGATACGATTATGTAACACCTGACACATATTGCTTGTGCTGTACAATAATGCACCAGATTTTTCGACAAAAGCAACCTTAACAGCATTAATCATAACAAAATTTGGAAAAAAAAAGAACCCAACGAAACACTGGAAAACGTGTCGTACATTACATTTGCATTCTTTTTTTGTTTTTCGATGACAGTAATGCATTCACAAGATAATGCTGAAGACACCCTCAAATTGGGAAGCCAGCTAGTGGCTACTAACATTCCATCAAGCACAAGAAATAACTGGAACTACAAAAGCGGTGTTACCAAGGGGAATCATATACCTCTCGCCGAAATAGAAATGAATATGAAGCTCTGGATACATATCAGTCCTGTGTTAAATCGCCTAACTCTCGATATACAGCAGTCCATTTGCTATTCGAAACCATCCAACAGTTGCTTATCTTCCGAACTTCTGGAGGATTGCTTTCGATTGGTACCTCGCTTGCTCTTGCCCTTCTTGGCTTTCATCCGACGCTTCTTTTCGTTGGAATCAATCCACGTATAATCTGAAGGTATACGAAATGGATCAATCTCGTCTTTGCAGCTTCGTCCTTCACTGCTATCACTGGACTGCCCGCCTCGGCTACCTCTCATCCATGAATACCATGAACCTGATGCTTCTGTTTCTTTAGCTTTGCTTTCCTGGAAATAAGTAGGGCTGGAGAGTGGGGTTGAAAACTCATCAGATTGTTGCAGCTCTTCAAATTTTGTGAAGGTGATGAGGACCCGAATAGTAGGAACGATGGGAATGGCCAACTGAAATTAATGGCACAGAAATCTACAATTTAATGCTTGAGAAAGTTGAAGCAGCATAAGCCTAGTATTGAATCATGAGAAATTTGCTATTTTAATCCTGAATTATATTATAGATGCAGCAATAGGAAAATAGCAATCAAATGTCATAAATCAATACAAAAGTAATTATTTCCATTCTGTGACCATAAGATAAAGGTTGAACTAGATACAAGGTATGTCACATTCCATGTTCCACAGAATTTGCACCTTGTTATCAAGAAGAGAAAGGATGCAAATAGAGTACATTGTACATAGTATAAACTTGAAAATCTTGTCCTTGTCCAGTAAACATCCATTAGAGACTTAAAAATGTATAAAAGTAATTCACCTTTTTTAGATGTATAAATGGAACCTTGATACAATTATTGACATTGGCCACTTGACAAGCCCTCAAATGAATTTTAGACACAACTAAATATCCATTTAGTTACACTCACCATCTTCCCCGTATAAAAAGAAAAAGACCTTCTTCAAAACTTAAAAAATGCTAATGAAGCAAAAGCAAACCGCCAAGATTATAAGAAGAAGGATCACCTATCATAATTAATGGTCAATTAAATAAAAGAAAACACAATACGTTTGAGACCAGACCTTAATCAAGATTACATGATACAGAAAATCTTTACGTAATGAAGGATTAAAAACAGAAATGTATGGATAATCACATATGAGAAACTTTGTAAAGCTGGTCAACTACCCTAAATCAAGCATATTAAAAATAACAAAAAGCCGAGTCATAGAAAACGATGTTTATGTAACATCATGACTAATGCATTTAAGCTACTATTAACACCCAGACATAAAGGTTCAAGATGGCAATGGTCAGGTATACGCGAATTCTATCGCACCCAAAACTGATTAGCTATCTATGCACCTGAACCTGGCACGGTTACCTTCCTACCCAAACCCGATTGAAGAGAACCTGAACATCCTTCAAGCAGAATGGGTAGACCAGATACCTAAGAATACCTGACTTGTTGTCATTCCTACCTCACACCAGGAATGATGATGAGTTGGGGTGTGTGAACCCAAACCCGGCTATCTAGGTACACGAATCTAAAGCCCAACCTGAGTCAAGTACCTATTTTCCTGATGATGAGTTGGGGTATGTGAACCCAAACCCCGCTATCTAGGTACACGAATCTAAAGCCCAACCTGAGTCAAGTACCTATTTTCCTGCTTGAACCATCTCAAACAAGAGTAAAGGGCAGACAAACAAGGTTTAAGTGGGTTGGATGAACTTGGGTGCCTGAGGAAACCCCGACCTGCTGCCATCTCCAATTAGGGTCCTTGTGTCACCACTATCCAAGTTCCATCACATATTCCAGATCTTCATATTCTTGTGTTTTTATAGATATTCATAGTTCCTAGTTTTAATTGAAAAATGACAAAGATACCACAGGTTTATCAAGCTTACTTAGAAATCCATCGTAGGTAAATACAACATTTTCACATGATCAACTTCTTAGTGAATCAGGAATCAACCAAATACTAAGCGACAAATTCATCAGGCTTACTTTGAAATCCCCTCTCTTCACCCCTTCTTGCCATGAACAAATAAAAAATAACAAATCTGAGATGGCATAAGTAAAACTATCAACTACTACAGTAGGTAATATCAGATGCCGTGCCAAGAAATATGTTTATCGTTCACGGAATCAAAGTTTTGTCGTATATGTCTAGCTGTTTCATTTCTTTAATTGATTGATATTAACAAAGCATTGCTATAGTAAATGAAGCTTATACAGTACCTGCTCCAGTTACAATCACATTTTTTGTCCATTTAAAACCAAACACCTGTTCAAAAATCAAGTAAATAGGAAAGAATGGAACATATGTCAATGGGAATTGAACAAAGAAAAAGAACACCCTTGTAGATTATTGCTTGAGTCATGATCTATCTGAAATGACACTCATTTTAAACTTGATATTTTGTGATCCTATCTATCTTTTGCATCTCAATACTGCATCATTTAGTAGCTGGCATAGGGTTGAAGACCTGTATGGTTGCACATGACGGAGACCGGAAGAACAAATGATGATTAAGACAAAAATAGGACTGAAACAATAAATTATAACATTAGATCAAAGATAAACAGACATCACACTGAGAATTTTCTTTACATTAGGATCAGTGCTTTGAAACTCTCTAGTTCTAACTAATTTGTTTGATTGAATAGCAATTAAATTATATAATGTAAAGGAGATATATTGCAAGTTGCTTTATTTTAATTGAATACAACATGTAGATCTTTGCAAAAATTCATTAAAAAAAACACAAAATATCTCATTTACGGAAAGTTGAGAAGTTTAAGAAAAGGAAAAGCAGGAGATAGCCATCAAATAAGTTAATGATAGCACAATAATAAACAGATAAATAGATTGAGATATAGCTCAACAATATTGCATCTTTATTTTTGTAAAGGGTAAGTGGTGAGATTTGATTCGAGGAACTTACTATCAACAACAGTCGAGAGCGTTTACCAACTAAGCTAGCTAACATCTTCATGATATTGCATATTAATTCTTGAATTACCACCAATAGGGAGGAAAAAAATATCAATACAGAAATGTTTTTCACAAAAGGGACTTAGTGATCCACAAGGAAGCAAAATTAAGAAAAGCAATAGCAATATAGAATCTCTGGAGACAAGAACTCCTATTGTAATAAAATATGAAGCTGAGCACTTCTGAACCTGCATTTTTTTATATCAAAACATGGATGTAGTTACACTAACATAGGAAAAGACCCATCATATGTCCAAGGGGAGATACCCAAGCTGGAAAGTTGGAAGAGGACAAAGATCTGTTGAGCAAACCAATTCCTCCTTCGGATTTTATACTTCTTCCTTTTTATTAAATGTATTAGCAGTTTCACCATTAAACTTGTAAGCCAAAAAAGAGAGCCATGAATGTGAAGACAAAAAAAACACAAATATATGCATAAAAAATTGTAAGAAAAAAATATGGACTGATATGTAAAACTTTCAACATTGCAGTAGAACAAGCAAAGCAAAATTTATAGTAGAATTAGCAGATACATGTGTGACAAATTAGGAGTACGACCACAAGAGAAGGCTTAATAGCCAATCTCAAGTAAGCTCAAATAGTAGCTGTCACACTGATGAAAGCAAATTAGAGAAGAATAAAAGAAAAATTTTAGAACAGAGTCCAAGTGTGAAAGATCACCTTAACAGGAAATGTGCCTTGAGGCAGCTTTGTGGTCAAAAGTTCCCTAAGCCTCCTCACAGCCTTGACCTTGTTTGCTA